ATATTTCGTTACCCCTGCCAAAAAATAGCCAAGTACTCATCTTTCAATGTAGCGGATCGACTGAACATTATAAAAGCTTGTCATGGAGAGAAGTGAATTTTCGGTTTATCCTTCGTCCCAGTGACCAGTGAGCAGTGTGCTGTAAGGCCTACGCCGGTTTAAACCGTTATACATAATTACTGCTTTCATTCTTTCAATCCGTTTTGAATAATCGGAATTATTCACTATTATAATATTATAAAACTGTATAAGATAGCTGTAGAACTATAAATGCTGTAGAATAAAATAAATAAAGAAAACTACGTTTTATCGCGGTATTTGCCGATAAAGGACATGCAGAACATGTACGAAATCCATACAGAAGTGTGTGTGTATTCTATACTTTTGAAACAACTAAATCAGACTTCGGAAAATTTGACAGTATTAAAGCTACTTTTGAGAATTTAGATTTTAGGTCTTTGTTTTACATGTACCAAGTAAATATTTTTGAGTTTTGAACTTTGATTCTCACAAGCTTACAATTTGTTTACAATTTACTCTGCCTCTGGCTCTGCCGTGCTGCACGGCAGAGTTGATCGGAATTGTAACAAATACGCGGCACTTAAATGGCTTCCTGAATTTAGTCAATCAGATGTGTAAAAATTACTCGTTTCAATTTTATGTTTATGCTCGAAACTGCTCATGTTTACAATAGCAATTCTAACAATCTTGCCCTCCTTTTCGCCTTTGAGGCGTTGGTGTTGATTTATACACAAAATTCAAAACTCTGGTCTGGGTACATGTAAAACGAAGACCTAAAATCTAAATTCCCAAAAGCAGCTTTAATACGGTCAAATTTTCCGAAGTCTGATTTAGTTGTTTCAAAAGTATAGAATACACACACACTTCTGTATGGATTTCGTACATGTTCTACATGTCTTACAGTAAAAATACAAAAATTGTCCCACTTCCGCGGTTTGTTGTGATTTTAATACTGTAATTTGTTCTGTTTTTCTGTAGCGATTACCGATTTATCGGCAAATACCGCGATTTGAAAACTTACTTTTCTTTATTTATTTCATTCTACAGCATTTATAGTTCTACAGCTATCATATACAGTTTTATAATATTGTGAATAATTCCGAATATTCAAAACGAATTGAAAGAATGAAAGCAGTAATGATGTACTGTATAACGGTTTAAACTTAGCCGGCCGTACAGCTCACTGCCACCGATCACTGAGCCGAAGGATAAACCGAAAATTCACTTTTCTCATCACAAGATTTAATGTTCAGTCGATCCGCTACATTGAAAGATGAGTATACTTGGCTATTTTTGGCAGGGGTAACGAAATATATCGGCTGTTCTCTACAGTAAGTGTTTCTTTATGTGTTGCCCATCGGAATATAATATAACTACATAAGCTTGATAGATGTAAGATAACGAGTTTCACAATCCCATTTTAAATACTATGACTTTTGGCAGCCTGGTTTTGCATCATATGTGTTTTTCAGTAAAAGCCCCATTTTCCTACTTCCCCAACGTGTAATACGCGAAAAAAACTTTGTTAATAATAACAAAAAATTGTAATAGTAAACAGTGTATTTTATTATAAAGGATTTTCGTTTTTCTACTGCTCCGTACTTCGTGTGCTCCGTGCTCCGTGTGCTTCGTACTCCTGCTCCGTGTGCTCCGTACTCCGTGCTCCGTGTGCTCCGTGTTTTACTAATAGCCACTGTTGACTGTCGAGTCTCCTGTTGTTATTGTAATTTGTAGCAGAGACAGTTAATTATGGATACTTATTTGGATGGGAAGGTGCTAGAAGTGGGATACTGGATTCTCAGGAGGATATTAAACTTTGAATCCTGGTATCCCTGTTCGATACTGAGAAAAAATACTGTTTCAATTTCAGACCATTGTTACCACTAGCACTTACCCTACTTTAATTCCTATTTTACTTTCAGTCTAACACCAGTGGTCGGTTGTTCAAAGCTGGATTGACGCTAACCCTGCATGGGTTAAAATTTAACATGCTGTTTTGGTTTGAGTACTTCTGCACTTCTGTTTATTTCAAAACTTTGGAAATAGAACTTCTATTGACAAGAATTGTGGTAAAATATTTCCATGTTTATAAACAAGCTTTTTTCGTAGTATTATTAAGCTAACCTGCTTTCGACTAACAGGCCCTAGTTGTTTGTTATTCAAAGCTGGATTAGCCCTAACTCTTAGTTAAAATTTAACGTGCTGTTTTAATTTATGTATTTCTACGGTACTGATCCAAACAAGATTTCTAAAGAAATATTTCCAAATTTATAAACAGTCTGGAAGTTTGCTTAACCACCTAAGGTTAGCTTATCGGTTTTCGAACAACCAGCCCCTGCAGGTGATTTTGCTCGTCAAAGGGAAAGTGTTGGACTTAAAATTTTAAGTCAGTCCACATTTTGTGTTAATTATCCCATTTTTAAGATAAAAAGCAGGTTACTTTCAGTACTTCACTATTTTACTATGTCGTACTAGAACATCAGAGGGTCATATTTCACAATTAACCCATTTCAAACGTAATGGAAATTTCTGCCATCCTGAGGGGAGAGGGTCCTAGAGTACAATCTACTGAGACCGACAATAGTAAAATGTACTGAGAGATCGATGAGATGGGGGTATAGGAGGGTTGAATTCCAATTTCCTTTGTATGCCATGATTGTGTTTTCAAGGCCGGACCGTGGGTATAAGTTTAGATGAAAATGTTAATTTGATGTTTTGTGTGCATGGCAACTTGAATATGTGTGTATTATTCAAATATATAAGGTTCGGGCCTCATTTAATGTTAACTAATAATTTTGGTGTTAATAATATTTGGTGTTTATAATATTTTGATTTGTAATAACAGGAAAGAACTCATGAACACAGCCTAACACTAGTAAACATGCAAAGGCCTCGCTCACGTTAGTTGAAAGGTCAAATCTGCATTTACAAACAAACATAAAAAATCTTGAAAATACTGTGAGCCTTCCTGTTATCATTGAAGTAAAAATATGATAAATACCCCTACTTTTTCAACCTTTAATATATATATCAAATCATTTTCTAACTTGAAAAGATGGCCTGAACCTTACAAAAATAATATCCGGTAGACCACCAGACAATAAAATAAAATCTAATATGCAGCTTCCTAGTTATTTGTTATGTTTCTTTGTCTTCATTAAATGTG